GTCCGCCTAGATAGTAAGATAGTCCGCCTAGATATTACGATAAGATAGTCCGCCTAGATAGTAACATTTACATTGTTACATTGTAACGTTAATTCTAGTTGAATTAAGTACAACCAATATCACGTGTAACATTCGGAGGGCTCAGTAGAGCAACGATTAAGGATCGGCTGTGGCGTATATATCACGAGTTTGATTACTATACGGGATAGTATTCATAAGGATTGCAAAAAACTGTTTTTGATCTCTATACAATATACATTACATGTAAAAAACCTATACGACAAGTTCTTGGTATTGAGGGTCGTTTTTTAAATAATATATAAAGCTTATGCTTACTTTACACTATTATTCTATGTATTGTGTATATTATTCTGTACCCATGCAAAAATTACCTAATAATAAAGTCACATTCTTTCATAAACACCTTACATAAACCTTAGTTAATTGCAGTTTAATAAACGCAATAGACATGTAAATTAAATGAGAATAGAAGCGAGACTGGTGAGCTAACTGACCTTTATTGCTACGTTTCTATGAATAATTATGACTACATCTATTATAACTACGAATGCAGCTACTCGTATAATTTTGGTTGAAGTTCACTTAAGGTAAGTTCCATTAACCATAAATTATACTTCGTTGCTGCATCCTAGGAGATTTAATAAACTGTGTAGATGTTTAGTGCTTAATTGCAGAGGGAACAAATTAATTAATTAATTAATTACAAAATTAATTAATTAATTAATTAATAACAAATTAATTAATTAATTAAAACTTAATTGCAAAAAAGATTGGGGACGACTAAATCTAGACCAGTTTAATCCTCAGAAGACACAAGTTTGCGCGTTTACCGCTAAAAAGAACCCCTTTGTCGTATCTCCTCAGTTTCAAGGCACTCCCCTTATTGCCTCAACCAGTATCAGTATCCTTGGAGTCGACATATCAAGTGACGTCCAGTTTCGTGGTCACTTGGAAGAGAAGGCCAAATTGGCCTCTAAAGAGCTCGGCGTGCTCAGCAGAGCGGGACAGTATTTCATGCCGGCACACCGCCTGCAACTTTACAAGGCGCAGGTTCGGCCTCACATGGAATAGTGTTCCCATCTCTGGGCAGGGGCTCCCTAGTGCCAGCTCCTTCCACTTGACCGCATCCAACGCAGAGCGGCTCGAATCGTCGACGACCGAGCCCTTTCCGATCGGCTCGATTCATTGGCACTGTGAAGAGATGTTGCATCCCTTTGCATTTTCTTTCGCATCTACCATGGGGAGTGCTCTGAGGAATTGTTCGGATTAATCCCAGCTGCCAAATTTCACGAACGCACATCGCGGCAGAACTCCCGATACCATCCACACCATCTGGATGATTGGCGGTCCACCACTGTGCGATTTAGAAGATGTTTTCTTCCTCGCACGACTTTCTTGTGGAATCGATTACCATCAGCGATTTTTCCGGACCGATACGACTTAGGGACCTTCAAGAAAAGAGCGTACTCCTTTTTAAAAGGCCGGCAACGCATCTGCAATTCCCTCCCTGGTGTTGCAGTTGTTCATGGGCGGCGGTAGTCACTTACCATCAGGTGAGCCGCATGCTCGTTTGCCCCCTCTCCTATAAAAAAAAGAACAAATAAAAATAAAAAAACTGTGTAAAGGGATCACTAGTATATTTAATTCAACAATGCAACAAGAATCACATATCTTGTGGAAAACTAATTAACATTTTAAATATAATTGCAATTAGGACTTAATCATTAATTCCAATTAAATATTGCATCAGCGCAAGCTCTATCTTGTTGGTTATTTTTTAACGGTAAGTTATAGAACTAAGCGAAGCAAAGAGAAGAGTCGGACCATCCAGATGTACGTTTTATGAGATCTATGGAGACACCGGTGCGCTTTGCTGCCGATATCGATGCATGCCGCGTACTGTGTGACGAATAAGCGCTAACATCGATGCCGCTTTCCTTAAGGATTTGTTTAATTCAATGGCTTAAAGATTGGGCACTGGCATTTCTGGTAGGATTTTTAATAGTTAAAATCAACTTATCTGAAACTGATTCCTTTCGTAGATCTCTCGTTCTAGTCATATAATCAGAAAGAGCTTTCACTGGGCAAATTTTTGGTTGTTCCTTGTAACATGGAATTATCAATTCCGGATTTATCCTATTAGGCGCAGACTTTTTAACAAGTTCATCTATAATAATGTGAACATTATTTTCATTGAATGATATATTATTAATTTTGATTAGTGTCTAAACACGTTGTCCAGTTGACAACGCGAGCAGAGTTACAAGTTTCTTAGTAATTATTTTTAGAGATAGTGACTCATTAGGGCTTTTCTTAGAAAGGTAGGATAAAAATAAATTTGGGTACCATGAATTTTGATATTTGGGTAAATAAGGTCTTGTTCTGAAAACACCTTTTAAAAATCTTCTGACAATATCATTCCCGCAAGTTTTGTGCCTAATATAAGTGACATAGCCGATCGAAAATAATTTAACGTGTTATATTTAGCAACACTTTTAAAATATTTTGTAAGAAATCTTATAAATATATGTACTGAAACATTAAAAAATCTAAGTTATTGTCTTTACAAAAGGAAAACCATAATTTGTACACCGTATTATATTGCTGCATTGTGTTATTGGATAACGACTGAATCATTATGTCAATAGTATCATTATCTAATGACTGTCTGACAAACGCTTGCCACGTAACGTTGTGCACACCAGGGTAAGGCTGGGCCATAAAGGATGAACATTGCTAGAAGAAAAGAATAAGATGTTTTGTCAGGACCAGAATATAATAGCTTAGAAATTGTCAAAGACATATATAGCGCTAACCAAGGTTAGCTTGGCCAATAAGGTGCTATTAATATGCCGGTCGTCTTATCATTGATAATTTTTCTAATGCTATTCAGTATCATTGAAAATGGGGGAAAGGCGTAGAAAAACTAATTATACCATTTCAAGGTAAACGCGTCAATGTTAAATGCATCTGAATCTCGTTTCCACGATACGAATTTTAAGCACTTTTTATTAATTCGAGAGGCAAATAGATCTATTTCTGACTGAGCATGCTCCATCACCATTTCTCGGAAATAAGAATTGTGGAATTCTCACTCCGTATCAATATTCGAATACCTAGAGGTTTTATTAGCTTCAATATTGTCCCGTGATTTTATATATGACGCGAATATAAAAAGCTTTCTTCGTTCGCGCCACTGCCATTTCTCTCGAGTTACATCGTTTAAGTGTGGATATTGTATTCCACCCATCCTGTTAATGTAAGATATGGCAGTGGTGTTATCAATTCTTAACAAAACATCAGATTTGGTAATGTTTTTACAAAAGCATTTTAGTCCCATAAAGGCAACAGCCTGGCTGTACAAGTTCTAAATAGTTAATATGATTTTCCTTTTCTTTCAGTGACCAATATCCGCTTACAGTTTCTCCGTTGCAGAGTATTCCCCACCCTGTAAGTGAGGCATCGGAGAAAATTTCTAGTTGAAAATGACCTGTTCTAATAGGATTGTTTGCATAATTTATTTTTGTTTTCCACAATAAAAAATTATCTTTTAACAAGGTTTTGACTTGCATTTTTACTTCATAATCTTTGTCTTTTAGGAGAGCAAGATATTTTTCCTTCTCAAAGCGCTTGGTCCATAGGTACCATAACAACTGCATGTCCAGCTTTAAGCTACGGCTGGACATGCAGTTGTTATGGTACCTATAAATTGAGCAAAATCTCTTATCTTAGCTTCCGATTTATAAGACATATTCTTTATCATTTCATAAATTTTACAACGTTTTTCAGTTGTTAATTCTAAGGTCATATGTCTTACTAGGTATGGGAACACTTTTATCATAATTTATCACAAAACCTAATTGCTCTAGAAAATTAATAACTTCTGTTATTGAATTCAAATACGAGTTATAGTCGTCTGCCGTGATCCAGAGGTCATCTAAATACGCTACTAATTTATGGCCTTTACGGCGTAACACTGTCAAAACTGACCTCATCAATTTCGTAAAAATGAACGGAGCTGTAGACAAGCCGAACGGGAGACATATAAATTCATACAAATTATTATTAAAATGAAATCGTAAGTACTTTCTAGAGGATTTATGGACGAAAACCAAAAAATAAGGTTCCTTAAGATCCATTGTTGCCATAAATGAATCTTTAGATAATAATTTATAATCATCTTGCATTTTAAATGATTTTGCACTATAAATTTATTAAGGGACTTCAAATTAAGAATAAATCTATATATTACTTTTAGAAATATGAAATATCGGAGATATAAATTCATCATCACAATCTTTACATGGCACAATTGATCCTAATCGTTTAAGTTGCTTGATTAATTTTAACATTTCGATCACAGAACCAGTAGGATTACCAGGCTCTACCAGTTGGGTAGGGATTCGAGTAAATATTAACGAATAGCCCTTTACTATGTTCAATATTTGGGGATCCTTTGTTACGTTTAACCAATTGTGTAAAAAGTATTGAATACGACCATAGTTCTGCAGCCGGTTGGTCGGCGATGAAGGTGGCGGCGGGCGCCGTGCTGCTGGCGGTTGCCTGCGGGTGGCAGGCTGCTGAGGCGGAGGATAGTACTGAGCCTGCGCATGGGCTGCACGCGCTGATCCCTACCAGCTCGATCGGCGAGGGGGGGGGGGGCGGTCGCTTTTGAGTTTTCCTGTGCACCTGTGACCATGGGTTTTCTAGGAGCAGACAATTGTGATTTTGTGATCTGCAGGCTAGATTTTTCTATTGAATTGGTAGTTTCATATTTTCGCTTAAATTGTCACCAACCAGAATTTTTTCCCCTTTGATGCCTTGAATTACATTAATAAAGCTTTTGTCTAACATTGGGATTATTAATCGTCTACGATTCATTGTTTCCTCGTGGTGAAGGTCTAGTAGAGTAGAATTTGATTTGTTTCGGATATTTGTTTAATTATTTCGTATTTGCTCATTTTTTTGCTTATTAACTCTCATGTTAAATGTGCTAAGCCTGCAATACCGCAACCTAGTTGGTTTTTCATCTTTTCTAAACGCCTGTCACGATTTTTTGTTGATTCATTCATTACTGACACAACCTCGGCGTTCAATCTTGGCGCTTTAGCGAGTTGAACATTTTCGGGGATCAGTGTTTTAGTAAGCAAGTTTTCCTTCTGTTCTTTCGTCAATCCTTCTATTAGGATTTTACCCCAACACTCAGAGACTTCCGTAGGGATCTTCTGCCCAAAAATTTCTTCAGACTTCTTTGCTTCCCCAAGAGCTGCCAAGATTTCTGGGGGGAGCATAGTTTCCTCGTCTTGTGATGGTAAATTAACACGGGCCCCATCTGAAGACTTTTCGGGAATAATAGTTTCAGCTTCAAGCGATGGGGTTGCCGGCGTAGGCATTTCAATCATAGACTTTGGCCAGCGGCGCTCAGATGCGGCTTCTTCTTCACTGACATTATCACTGCCACCGCCGCAATCATACGCGTCGAACTCAATTTCTTCGTACTCGTCGCAAGAGTTATATTCGGGATCTGATAGAACAAGGTTGAATCAGCTTAATATTTACTTTCTGAATAACATCACGTGTCACCACATTAAGAAAGTAAGTTTTATATTTCTGGGTGACATCACGTGCCACCACTGAGGAAATAATAGTACAAATACTTCAGAGAATAACAAAAGAACCATCCCGATTATTAACTCCTCATTTTCTGGGTAACATAATATCATTAAGAAAGTAAGGTAAGTAAATTATTTCCGGATGACATCACATGCCACCACTGAGGAAATAAAAACACTTGAAATTTATACTATTATTAATATGTGGGTACTGTAATTAAAATCACCCATTAACTTTATTAATGTACAATTTTCTTGGCAAACTGATTATTAAAAGATTATTTTTATATCACTTGTTATAGCAACTATAAATAAGGATAATAACTTTGTCATTAAAAAAAGGTTTCAAAACTAAACTCTATTATGGGAATCCTAGGGCGGTTTTCGTCGAGACTTTAACTCCTTTTCCAAGCGTCTTATTTTGTTTCTAATTTCATCGTCAGTCTTCTAACTTGTTTTTTTTTGGTTTAATTTACTTATTGTAAAATGGGAATTTTAAACTAAGTAAATTAAACAAAAAAAATACTTCTTGCGGGGCACACGCGGATGATGCAACACACGGAAAACTAATGATCGAAACGCCCAGCCGGGTCGGTAGGCTGACAGTGACTTACAAAAGTTAATCGACAATCTTTTTACTATTATTTTTTTCTTCATCTTTTGCAAAAATAATATCTAAATTCGTGTGATGATGCAGTACCACAGAAAGCGGACTACACAGTTAATTAAATCTCCTAAGATGCAGCAACGAAGTATAATTACTAAGAAGCTTTATAATCCACTAAATGGTAAGTGAAAACAGAAGACCATTTTTAAAGAAAATACTGAAAAATAATATATTTATGTACTCTTCACAATTATGTTAACAAAGACTATGGGCAGAGAATCTGGTGTCTGTACTTTAAGAAACGAGCTTACTTCTTTTTAAAAGGCCGGCAACGAACCTGCATTTTCCCTGGTATTGCAGTTGTTCATGGGTGGCGGCCGACACTTTACATCAGGTGAGCAAGTTTGCCCGCACTGCGAATAAGTAAATACAGTACTAAAGAAGCGAGAAGTCAGGATCGTGCCAAGAGCGTGTTTATGTTATGTATATGTGTAATACTGAATCTAAGAACAATTGTTAATTCATTCTTATTTGACTGATTATATCAAACTGGAGATCGTCTTTAAAAAAGGCAAGAGCAAGGTTGTCATGTATCTTTTTCTTTATTTTATTACTCTTAAAACGTGGTTACTTAAAGTTAAGATTAAATTACGATTTTTGATTCATATTTTTATAAGAATTTTATTCCTCTTTTTAGGGTTCCGTACCTCAAAAGGAAAAAACGGAACCCTTATAGGATCTCTTTATTGTCCGTCTGTCTGTCTAGACCCTTTTTCTCATAAACGCGTGGAGGTATCAAGCTGAAATTCATATCAAACACTTAAGTCTGCTGTCCCTTGGAGCTGTAAAAAAATCAAACGTCTAAGCTAACGCAATCAAAAGATACAGCCGTTTATGCCGCGAATTTTTGACACTCGCAGGGGAATCAAAACTAGGTTTTGATTACTGGGTACTTCCCGTAAACTCAAAATCCTAAAATTTGATACGAAGCAACGTATTATTACAGATTAGCACAGAAAAAGGAAAAATTACGAAAAAGCATAAATTTTTAGTTACATCATATAATAAAAATCTTTTTCATTATTTTAAACTTATATACCTACGGATTTGTTCGGAACCCTCGGTGCGCGAGTCCGACTCGCACTTGGCCGTTTTTTTTATCTTTCCGTAACTCCGACTCGACATAGGAATTGTAGGGAAGATTTGCTATAATTATCTGATTCAATAGCACAATGGATTTTCTTACGACAAAAATAATTATTCCAAAATAAAATATTATATTAACCAATATGTATATTGGTATTTGGTATATATATATTGGTTATATATATATATATATATATATATATATATATATATATATATATATATATATATATATATACATAACCAATATGTATATTGGTATTTGGTATATATATATTGGTTATATATATATATATATATATATATATATATATATATATATACAGGGTAATTTTTAATTTACTGAAGACCTTTTGGGAATATATTATTTACATCATAACAACAACATCTGTAAGAAAAGAAATTACATTTCTTCAATTTTTATTTTCATACAAAAATAAAAATATTTTAATTGGACCTTCTAAACGGCAATAGTCCTAAATAGCAAAATAAAGCGCGTGGCGGGGTAGGGGTGGAGGGGTGTAGGAGGCGGCGCTTGCTCATTTGAACTTGACCTAATTATCTGTGTCGTCAGTCGGTCAGTCGCCTTTTGTGCGCCCGCGACTTTTCTCCTTCCGTTGTGAGATTAATATCGCGAACGTTACGCGTTGTTACAATGGCATACCGATCCTCAAATATTGAGTATACCGAAATGGTGCGAATTTTAGCAATTTGCAATGACAACGTTAGTGAAGCCTGCCGTGAATATTCAAGGCGATTTCCCAACTCACGTGCACCGAGCTACGCTACGATGCTAGGTACTACACAGCGATTGCGAGATTACGGGCAATTCCAGCCTGTATCAATCGATCGTGGTCGTCCACCGCGGCGCACAGTACGTGAGCAGGAAGACATACTGCAGTTTTTTGAACGAAATCCAGCAGCGAGCACTTATGAGGCAGCCCGACAGTTCAATGTGTCACAGTACTACGCATGGAGTGTCATACACAATGAAGGGAAGTACCCTTTCCACTTGCATCGTGTTCATGAACTCAGCGAAGCTGACAAACCAGCGCGAGTTACATTTTGTAACTGGTTACTAGCTGCTGAACGAGCCAACATTTTATGGACTGATGAAGCAACATTTGGCAGAATAGGACTATTTAATTCGCACAATGAACACTTGTGGTGCTATGAAAATCCACATGAACCAAGACCGCATAGCTTTCAACACCGGTTTAGTGTCAATGTGTGGGCAGGCGTCATTAATACAACGTTACTGGGCCCGGTCTTCATAGAAAGATTAAACGGTGAAAGCTATCATAGTTTTCTCACCGACACGCTGCCAGAGTTGTTAGAGGACATACCACTTGCATCTCTACGCAATATGTATTACCAACTTGACGGGGCGCCGGCACACTATGCTCGCCAAGTTAAGGATTATTTAAACAGAGAATACCCTGGTCGCTGGGTCGGTCGAGACGGGCCTTGTGCATGGCCTCCCAGATCGCCAGATATCACACCAATGGATTTTTATTTGTGGGGGCATGTAAAGACATTAGTGTATACTGGTCGAGCATTCGAAACCCGCGACATGTTGAAAGAAAAAATAATTTGGGCATTCGATCAAATCAAAATGAATCATCAAGTATTATCTCGTGTCGGTGAACAGTTAAGTTTTAGGTGTCACCTATGCATAGAATGTGAAGGTGATTATTTTGAACGCTATGTGCGCGATACTCACCGTCATCCGCGGACAAGTACCTAGGTAAGTCTAATTTTTAAATTTGTATTTTAATATTTTTATTGAACCATTATACCTTAATATCTTTTTCAATTACTGTTAATTTGTATTTAATCATTATAAATATTTTATTGTAATATTTGTAATTATTTTAACCTGCATCCATTTTTTAAATACAACTTACATTAAATAAAAAAATAGTTAATAATACTCATTTAATTTGCACGTGCTGCAAACATCGATCACCAAATCGATGCCTGCAAACCGAAAAGGGCAGGCGGCGCCTTTGATGACGGTGACACCTGTGTCGACGTTATAATATATCGTTGGCTTGGCCTTGGGCCGCCGCATGTGCGACGTTGAGCCGTTGCCTCTTGGATGCAGGCAGAGTTGCTAGCAAACAGTATTCGTAAAAAAGACTACCTAAATGTCTATTAAAGAATGTCTATTAATTCTTAAAGAAATTAATAAAATAATCAAATAGTTCATCAAATGGTTTTATGCAAAATAAAGAAGTATATGAAAAGTCTATGTAAAGTCATTTAAAGTGGCGCCCTGGTGCAATAGGCACAGTGATGAATGGTTTAGTAGGCTCTCGCAACTAGGGTTACCATATCTCAGGATTTGTGCTGAGATTTCAGGATTTTTAGACTCTTCTCAGGACTGCTGCTGGATTTTGCAAATCTCATGAAATCTCAGGATTTTTAAAACTTTCAATATAATACAGCTTACATTTTAAAAGATCTCTTAATAAAAAGTTAAACAAACTAAAAATAATTTTCCTTTGGTAATAATTCCACAATTAAAATCAAAACTTATTTATCCAAGTAAGTACTTAAACAGATTTATCATACTTAATATGTGAAAATACTTTTTTAAGTAAGGTTTTCTTCTCAAACTGTAAAACAATCTCAGAATTTTTAAATGGAAATCAGGCCTCTTCTCCGGACTTTTAATTTTTTCATCTGGTAACCCTACTCGCAACGCAATCACCTGAACGCGGGTGTCGACCGGCCCGGCGGTCATTCTTACTTATTATAAATTTTAATATTTGTGGTTTTTTTTTGAATGTCATTTGCTCATTTAATTATGTTTAATGATTTCAACACAATGTTTGATACTGTATCAAGTGTAAAAATGCCTTATTTAGGCATTTTCTTTGACGATTTATTTTGACATTGTTTATGTACTACAAAATACAGACTTAAAAGGAGTCAGACATGACAACAAAACCTTAAAAGTAGTTTTTTCGTAAATGTATTATATTCTGTGAAGAGTGATCTCACTAAAATTGTTTGTAATGATGTAACCAATATATTCCCAAAAGGTCTTCAGTAAATTAAAAATGACCCTGTATATATATATATATAATTATTCCAAAATAATATATATATATATATATATATATATATATATATATATATATATATTATTTTGGAATAATTATTTATTATATAACGAATATATATGTATATATGTTATATATATAAGAGTTACAGACATTATTTTAGGCATAGATTATTATTGGTCAATAAACCACAACTTATAGCCCACAAAGTAAGTATACCAGCAGTTGCATTCTTCGAAAAATAGCGATGTTTTTTATGGAAATTAGATTTCTGTAATACGGCATTTGACAATACATTCTTGAAAAGACTTAAAAGTGGATTTAAAGGAATTAAAATATGAGGTAAATTTTTAACGTTCTTATTTTTATACGATTTATATATATATTTTTTTTTATTTAACCTACAAATAAATTTTTAATTAAAACTTAATATTCGTTCATCCGCTAGAAGTAAACTGGCACATTAAAAGTACGATAATGGACGAACTTGTTCTAATAAATTAAAAGTTTAATTAAATTTTAAAGTGGTCATGGTCATAACTGTATTTGGCAGGAAGAAACAAAATTTGTACTATAAAAGTTATTTGAGGCATCAAAAGAATCCGAAACTTCAAATGTAGAACAAATTTTACTACATAGATGATAGGACTCCTTTTCTGTCTGATGAAATTTTATTTTAGTTCTTAGTATTAGTGGGTAGTTTGTTACAGGAGCCTATACATTGTCTGCACTGACCACTTACCATCAAATGCAGTGTTCGTGTGACATTCAAATATGGTAAAAAATACGTGAATAATACCAAGAAATCCAAACCATGCAGAATATATCGTGTT